CATATATATAGTGGCCCGGTGCATGAATTCGTGCACATTGGAAGGAAATTAATTAGGAGAAATATTTTAATACCGCTATTTGCCCTTTCTCTATCAAATAAGTGTCAACCAAAATCATGATCGACAATGACAGATTGAAACACATGCACGTGATTGGCACCAGCGAGAGCTTTATATGTATTGCGCATGCGTAAGTCAACTTAGCCTTTTATAGATATAGAACAAACTTGCTTAATTAGACCTGCTTTCTGATGTAGCTAAACTTTTCCCAGCCCAGTGAAGCACCCCAACTTCTCTTTCAGGTAATTGTCAGCAACACAGCAGTAAATATCAACATGAAAAGATTATTATTGTAGGTCACGCAGGGAGAACAAAGGGTGAAATATTTAACTGCAGCAGTGTTTGACTATATTCTGCGCAGTGAGAAAACCAGAAGTCATTTTCAAGGCCCACCATTTCTTACTTCTTTTCAGTCAGGTCAAGTTCCTAAGGTTTCTAAATCTCCGTTTTCCGGCCAATGAAAAGAAAATAGGATTCTACCTACTCCCAGACTTCTGTGAGGATCAAATGAGATGAGGCACAGGAAAATGCTTCACAGACATTTGGTTGCAGTGTAAAATGTTTGCACCTGGCTATAAAGCAAGTTGTGTTCCTGGGCTGAAGAAAGTGCAAGGAGGCTAGTTGCTAGGGAGAGGAAGCCGGGCGTTGCTACGTGACGTCATTACCTGGATGGACACTTAGCATATTAGCCTTTTATATATAGAGATTATATATATATAGATATGTTAAAATAGATATCCCTATGAAAAAGCAGGCTGAGCTAAGGTATCCTTTCAAAGAGAAGCTTTGGCCACTACCCAGTGAAGCTGTCTAAATAACACAGCAGGTAGAGGGACAGCCTCATGCACGGGACCATGAGCCCCGTTCGGATGGAAAGGGGACTGGCAGGCCTTGCTGTCTTGTTCTTGCTGCCTCTGCTGGCTCTGTGTGTCGTGGAGTTTTAACAAGCTCAGCTGGCAGCGGCCTAGTATCAGTCTCCAAGAGCCTTCATTTCTGAATGTCTCCAAGGAGAACCTAAAAGGGGCAGAAAACTCGGAAGTCAGGCCCCTTCCCCGTCCCCTCCTGGGGATTAGCCATCATCTGCCCTGAATAGGCAGCTGGTTGCATAATGCCTGTCCTGCACGGCGTCCCTTTGCCAGCAAATCGCTGCAGCCTCCCTCCGCCGAGGGCTGTGGACGCCGTGCCCGGGGCATGCTCAGGCCCCAGACCCAGAGGATGGCCCTGCTTCCTTGTGCCCCACTCTCCTAAGGACCTGTGTGCATTAACTTATTTAATCCTCACAACAACCACCACTGGAGGAGGTATCAGGATCAGGCCCATTTAGAGATGAGGAAACTGAGGCCTAGAGAGGCAACGGTATTTGCCCAGTGTCATCCAGCTGGGAAAGGGCTGAGCTGGACTCTACTCCTAGAGATTTTAAGGTACAGTGCTACTCAGTGAAGAAAATGGGGGCACCAGATAACTTGGGGTGCATGGAATGGGGCTGCTGAAGGGAATGGCTAAGCCCAGCGGGGGTGCTGTAAGAATCAGGGTACTTCCCCATGCAGGACAAGCTGTGAGGCTCACAAGTCCAGCATCTCACTTCTTGCTCCTTTTGGGCAGTGGGATATCACAGTGATGAGAGCAGGTGGAACTAAGAGGCAAAGAGCTGAGATGTTAATTCGGGGTGGGGTGGGGTGAGGGCGCAGGTCTTGGCAGAGCCCCCTGTGCTCAGTCAGATCTAGCAGAATCTCCCCACTACTGGGGCGGGGGGTAGGGGGGACGCTCTGTGATCCAGGTTTTTACTGGAGTCAGGGTAAGCTCCATCCTCACTTTGGTCACCTGGTGCCACTGGGCTCGGCTGCCCGGTGTGGGGGACCTGCGGCCGGAAACTATTGAATGTTGTGAAGTAGGATGTGCTTCCACACACTTTCACTGGGGTGAGCCAGTGAGAGCTTCAGGGGAGGGGGGGCATTTAAAGCTGGGGAAACTGGAGAGGAAGTGAAGTAGAAATGGGGGGGGGGAAGCAGAGGGAACAGAAAGAATACAATCATATATAGGATCAGTAATCTGGAGAATGAAAAACACAGTGTCTGGGAAAAGGCCCAAGAAACGAGAGGAAAAATGCAGGAGGCAGACCTCTTAGGTAGGGCCACAGCCTTCGCTGGAATATAGAACCCAAACATCTTCTTACTGTATTCTATTCTTGAATAAAGTTTTAACTTCGTCATTCTTATTTTTCTTAAAGCAGATGAATGGCTCAGCCTCTCTCAAAGTGCCTGGATCTTCATACCGTTTTATTTCCAACGAGCATTAGAACCGTTTTAAGGCCGAATGAGGAACGCCTCTTGTGGCCAGGGCGTTGGACACCTCTGCTGATAAGGCAGCGAGCAGCCCTCCTGGTTTAGGAGATGAGCCGGCCAGCTGAGCATTGGTGTGTGGGAGTGAGGAGGGGATGGGGCTGGCGGTGGAATTCAAGGAGCCCGGGCTGTCATACTTCCCCTGCTGGCTGGTTGCCCTTAGGGAAGCCTCCTTTTCTCTCTCGGCCTCAGCTTCCCCATCTGTACAGAGTCTGAGTGAACAATCTAAAGACTACGGATCTAAAGTGTTTTTGTTTGTTAATCATTACCCGAGGATATTTTTCCAATCATTTTTTTTTTAAGAGAGAGTGGAAAGGAGGGGGAGAGACGGAGAGAGAGAAACATCTGTATAAGAGAGACACATGGATTGGTTGCCTCCCACACGAGCCTGGACTGGGACAGGGGACAGCCTGAAACTGAGGTTATGTGCCCTTGACCGGAATCGAACCCAAGACCCTTCGGTCCATGGCCTGACTGAGCCAAACCAGCTAGGGCTAAAGTTGTTTTTTAATGTCTGTGAGTCTTAAAAATAATAGTAATAGCTAAAACTTATTGAGTATTTGCTACTACTAATAAAAATAGTTAACATCTAGCCCTGGCCAGTGTTGCTCAGTGGTTGGAGTGCCGGCCGGAGCACCAAAGGTTTGATTCCCAGTCAAGGTTGTGAGCCTGGGTTGCAGGTCCAGTCTCCGGCCCCATCAGGGTGAGTGTAGCAGGCAACCAATTGATGTGTCTCTCTCATGCGTTGATGCTTCTTTCTCTCTCTCTCTCTCTCTCCCCCTTTTCTCCTTCCCTTCCTCCCTCTCTCCTTGCTTTTTTTTTTTTTTTAATATATTTTATTGATTTTTTACAGAGAGGAAGGGAGAGAGATAGAGAGCCAGAAACATCGATGAGAGAGAAACATCGATCAGCTGCCTCCTGCACATCTCCTACTGGGGATGTGCCCGCAACCCAGGTACATGCCCTTGACCGGAACCGAACCTGGGACCCCTCAGTCCGCAAGCCGACGCTCCATCCACTGAGCCAAACCGGTTTCGGCTCTCCTTGCTTTTTTCCCTCCCTCTCTCTCTTCTACTCTTTCTGAAAATCAATGGAAAAAATATCCTTGGGTAAGGATTAACAACAACAAAGTTAACATCTACTGAGTGCTTAAATATTCATACTAATAATAGTTAACATTTACTGGACACTTATTATAAGCCAGGCAGTATTTAAAGCATTTTACATGAACTAACTAACTCATTTGAACCTTATGCCTAGGAGGTAGGTACTGTACTTATCCCCCTTTGCAGATGGGGAAATAGAGACCCAGAGAGGGGGGGTGACATACTGCACGTCACTCAGCCAGGAAGTGACCTCCGGCTCCTGAGTCCTGGCCCTTTCTGCCATCAGGCTGTGCGGCCATTCTGTCCCTGCCATTCCGCCTCCTTCAAGAATGGGAGCAGGTATAATACTGAGGATATTTACAGCAATATTGGTAGCAATAATAATAACAGAAACAGCGATGCATTGGTCCTTAATGATGCAGTCCTGTGCTAAATACTTTATTCTGCCTAAAATTACATTGCCCCGAGAGGACTCAAGGCCCTGCTGACCCACCCACCACTGTCCCTTCAAATTCGTTGTCTCTCCTCACCCTCCAAATGGCAAACTGGCCTCCTTCTGGTCCTCTGGTTTGGGACACTTTCCTTCCTTCTCCTGCATGCCCGTTCCCTGCAGTTACCCGACTGAACCCACGGCCCCAGCTTAGGCTACAGTTGGCACTTAGTAAACACTGAACAAAGAATGAATGACCGCATAAGAGAAAGCCCTACATTGAGCAGGAATGACTTGGAACAATGATCTCAGGGGGCTGTGGTGGAGATAGGTGGAGACCTAATGATATACTGATGGGGGGTGGGCTGTGGACGTTTAGGAAGTGGGAAGCAGGTACATTAATATCTTATGATGTGCAGGGCAGTCCCACCTGGGGAAGAACTAGGCCGCCTCCTTCACGACGTTCATATGTCCCTCACACAGTGAAACTGCTTGCAGTGACTGGTGCCTTTAGTTTTAGCCTGACTGTGTTTCTATAGAGCATAACGTATTTCTGCATGTTTTATACGTCGCATTTTCCCTGAATGCAGCTACTGGGCACATTAGGGAAGGCTAGACTCGGAGGAGCTTCACTCTGAGCTGCCAATCGTAGCAGACACTGGCCCGGAGGCCCTCAGTGGAACATCCCACACCGATGGCAGCGCCCTGTGTTGTGTAAGTTGTCCGCACAACCCAGTCAAGCCGGCATTTGTGCCTGTAACATTCCTGGTGACTTGGCACATAGTTGCCTGCCTCAGAGTCACGTCACTCTGTCCCCTAGACCAGCGGTCGCCAACCAGTGGGCCGCGGACACTGGTGGTCCGCGAGGTCCTAAAGGTTGGCAACCGCTGCTCTAAACCAGTGATGGCGAACCTATGACACGCGTGTCAGAGGTGACAGGCGAACTCATTTTTTGGGTTGATTTTTCTTTGTTAAATGGCATTTAAATATATAAAATAAATATCAAAAATATAAGTCTTTGTTTTACTATGGTTGCAAATATCAAAAAATTTCTAGCCCTAACCGGTTTGGCTCAGTGGATAGAGTGTCGGCCTGCGGACTGAAGGGTCCCAGCTTCGATTCCGGTCAAGGGCATGTACCTTGGTTGCGGGCACAACCCCAGTGGGGAGTGTGCAGGAGGCAGCTGATCGATGTTTCTCTCTTATCGATGTTTCTAATTCTCTATCCCTTTCCCTTCCTCTCTGTAAAAAATCAATAAAATATATATATTAAAAAAAATCAATATGATGGCCTTGACTGGTTTGGCTCAGTGGATAGAGCGTCGGCCTGCGAACTAAAAAGTCCCAGGTTCGATTCCAGTCAAGGGCATGTACGTTGGTTGTGGGCACATCCCCAGTGGCGGGTGTGCAGGAGGCAGCTGATCGATGTTTCTCTCTCATCGATGTTTCTGACTCTCTGTCCCACTCCCTTCCTCTCTGTAAAAAATCAATAAAATATATTTAAAAAAATCAATATGACGCTATAATAGTGATATCAAAGAAGACTTACAGGACATTAATTAATAAGAGAACAATGTCTGTTTCACCATGTACGCTGTTGGGCTGCCAGGTGTAGAATCCCTATAGACCTTCTAAGGAGCGTTACAAACACTGTCATGAAAAAGAGGCTGCTGTTTCTGACTGGGTCAAGTGCTGGCCTGGGAGATGCTTTCAAAAGCCTTGAGCCCTGCCCCCCTTCAGTGATGAGGGCCCAGAGTGGCTTTTCAAATCCCCCCAGGAACAGCGCCAGGTAAAAAGACGGCTGGCTCAGTAACAGCTACCATGGACCAGGCACGGCATCAGCTGCACGTTCCGCCCTGTGCATGTATCACCTCATTTAATTCCAGCAATGACCCACTGTGCCACTGCAGGTCTCACTGTGCCATTTCACAGACTGAGAAAACTGAGGCCCAGACCTGCGAAGTCACTTATCCAAGGTCACACAGCAAGCACAAGGAAGAGCCCTGCAGCTCAGGGAGAGTTTTTGTGGTTTCCTTGAGATGCATGAGGGCATGAGGATCTGCCTGCAGCCTCTGGCATGAGATGGCCTGGGCTCAAGGGCACTTATTAGATGTGTGACCTTGGGCAAGTCGCTCCACCTGTTTCCCCCTCTGTGAATTGGGGTGATGGCAACGGGATCGAGCTCAGGGGATGGCTGAGAAGACTGAGTTGCTCAGAGGAGTGCCAGGCACAGAGCAGACTGTTATTATTACTGCTGTTGTCACTGACCATTTCTCAGGTGGCTTCTACTTACTTCCTCCTCCGGTGCCTGCGCTCCTTGTCCTCCCTCCGCGTGTCCATGTCATACGTGGCTGGAGGGCCATGCCGGTGCCGCCGCCGCCGCTCGCCGCCATCAGGAGCCTCGCCCTCGCCCTCGCCGCCCCGGGCGGGCCGGCTGCCCTCCCGGTGCCGGGATCTCCGCTCAGCTTTGTCCTCTGGGGCCTCCTCGCCGGGCCTGCGATGGGCCCGGTGCCTGCGGGGCTCCCCGTCAGCTCCGGTGCGTGGGGACCCGCTGCGGCTCTCTCGGCTGGCCCCCGGCCGGTGCGTGTGCCTCCGGTGGGGGTCCCCGGCCTTGGGCCGCTCAGCCTCACCCTCCCAGAACCCCGGTGGCTCCAGGCCGCCCTCCCGGGTGTGGGGGTCCGACTCTCTGCCATAAGGACCCTCCCGGCTCAGCTCGGCCTCCTTGGCTGCCAGCCCAGGGCCGCCGGGCGTCCCAGGCCCATGGAGCCGCTGGGGTCCCGGGGCCGGTCATGGTAGCGCGCCTGTTCCCGAAGGAAGTCCTCGGCCCACTGCTGGCCCAGGGCGCTGGTCAACCGTGGGCTCGGG